AAAGTGACACTTTCATCTCTGCATTACACTGTTGTTTCCAGAGCTTTAAATAATTGTCTTTTTTGTCAAAGTCCACACAGATTGGTTCAATTACTTTAGAATACAATTGACAAGACAAATTATTCTTATCTACTCTGTTGTTACAATACAATCTGTGATAATTTCACTTTAAAAGTTTCCACTATACACTCTTTATGGCTAAACTCACAATCATGCAGTATAGATCTAGCTATCTATCTAACTAACCTTGTCTAACTAACTCAAACTACATTTTGTATGCATATTTACAGCCTTACCGAAGCCTAGAATGTTCTATACATTATGAGATGTAATAATACTCAATCAAACCAACGAGAAAAAATTAGAAGGTTCTAGTAACATGATGCAATAATACAACAAGCACCAATTCACAACAATTGAACTACACAATGTAACGTATGATTTGTACACAGTTACGTAAACAAACTTGCAATAAACTATCACTTCTAAAGAAAACTAAATTTAAAACTAGCTTTGAACTGAAATTGAAACGTTCGTGTATATCTAACAGATGGGTACCAAAATGACTACTAACTATGCCCATATATTTAGGAACCATATTGAAAGCCAGCTTTTACAGCAAAACCCTGTAAAACCTCATAGATGGAAAGATTACATTGATGACATACTTTTCATTTGGACAGCTGGTTCTGAATCACTATTTCTTATGCCAACATCTTTCACAAAACAATCAAGCTTACTCTTTATTACTCCCTTATCCAAGTTAACTATCTTGACGTCACTATCTTGTTAAATGATGGAATTTTAAACACTGACTTGTAGAGAAAAACCTTCAGACCACAATATCTTCACAATAAAAGCTGTCATCACACTCACAGTAAACACAACATTATCTGTAATTAAGTTCTCCTAATGAAGAAAATATGTTCAGATAAAACAAATTACAGAAAACACACCTAGGATATGAAACAAACCATGTTAGAAAGGGGATATAAAGATACTGAAATTGATAGAGAATGAAAAAGCTAACACTCAATGAAAAACCATCCCTAAACAATGTAATACTAACATTTCAAACGTAATTCCTCATTATTACCTATTATTTTAAATTCAGATATGTTACGCACATTTTGAAAAAAACATTTTAATTTGCTACAACTGAATGATCACCTTAGACAAATATTTCTTGAAGTTCCCATTGTCCCCATTTGTTCCCAAATGAGCAGAAGTCTAACATATCCTTGTTCATACAAAAATAGATTACGCCCCAGCAAAGAGTGGTTGTCATCCATGTAATAAAGCTTATTGTTGCCCAACACTTTAACCAGCTGAGTCATTTTATTAATGATTTGACTCTCATGAGCATTGAAACCAATTTTGAAACTAAAACTGACAGAGAAATACAAGAAGACTATTTAATTGCCACTCTAGAAGGGTTATTGGGATTCATATCTTTAGGCAAGTAATTGATGATTTCAAAAATTATGTAAAGATTGAATATGCACATAACTAGAAATTGGAGATTTTCAATACTACATAAACATATTTTTGTTTTATATTAGATAAACAAATAATTTATTTTGTTGCAAAACTAAAAAATGCAAGTTTTACTTGGCTTATGATACTGAAACTTACTAGGAGCTAAATTATCTATTTACCCTTTCAAGGAAACTATTATAGCATAAATGCTGCAATAAAGTTTTTTTGTCTTATAATATTATTACTGATTACGGTAGTCTGTAAATGTATTTTTAATCCATTTCTTTGACCCATAGCTTCGGAAACTGATCAAAAAAGTAGAAGTTAAAAAATCAGATGACACTGAAAAGCAAGAAAGTGATGCAAGACAGGAAGAAGAAGGTAACATCAGTCATGCTGATCATCAAAAGACTGATGGGGAATCAGAGACAGAAGAATCCTTGTTGGCAGAGATCTCTTCTTCTGCTCCATCTCTGGAGATCACAGAAAAAGATGCTCGCCTGATTGGTGGGTGTTTTTTATATGAAACAATGTTATAAATGTCATAAAACTTTTACATGTATTATATACCCTGTTTAACTTTCTGAGTAAGCAAATATTAAGTGGATGATGTTTTATTGAACCTGCAATATCCTTTCATTTGATAAAATGTTAACTGTCAGGTTTTCCAAAAATAATTTTTTTAATAAAGTAAAAATTATCATTAGTTTTAGATTTTGAAAACTTTTTAAATTTCTTCATGTTAAAATAGTTTTCTTAGAAGCTTGTCTTCTATTTAAGGGTGTTATGCATTGTGTGATTGTTTCACACAAAATAAAAATATTGAACAAGTAAAAACAGGAATCAAGTAGTGATACAAATAGTAAGGACAGTTTGTTAGTTGAGGAGATAACTAATCATTTTAAATAACAAATCTATTAGAAGCTATAAAGTCAATAAATTAATTATAATTTAATATGATGTGTGTGTGTTTGATTGATATAGCCCAGGCTTTGTTGACTGGGTTATTTTGATATCTCTGTATGTAGACATTTATATACATTGTATTTTACTAATAAGTAATTTGTTACATACAGTTTGTTGTCATCACTTAACTGTTATTTTTATTTAGCATTTGTAACCAACTTTTTTAGTGAAAATGTATTTGATTTTTCTTCTAAACCGAGACTATAAGGTACTAAACCTTTCCCTGTTGCTCACAGTTAAGGTATATATTGAATTGCTTTTTTGTGTGTGCATATTGTTGACTTGGAAGGCATGCTGAAGGTGTTTGATTTCGGTTAAATTATTTTTGCTTAAGATAAAAGTGTTGAATGTCCTGTTTTCATTAAGGCTGCAGTTTCATTATCATTTTGTTCCCATCACAACATTCTTTAGAAATCTGTCTGATGATTGGCAGATAACACATTACAAGTGTAGAAATTAACTTAGTATATGAACTTTTATTACAATTCAAACTACTATGTTTTGATGTAACACTAGGTTCTGTTTAACCAGATAAATGTTTTGTTTGTTGTGTGTCTGGACATCTCAAGTATGACATCTGCTAAGTATGCTCTGTGTGTTAGCAGTTTTGTCTTATAGATTAATGATTAGTGCTGTTAAAGGTCTTCAGCTAATGTATAAGTATGGCATATTGAAGGAATTATAGGGTGGTCTTATAATACTTATATATGAAATTAAAGAGTGGTTATCTTTAAACCAGTATCTTGCACATTTTATGTCTTAGGAAATGTTTCTAAGATATTGAAACTAAATATAAACCACCACTCAAAGATGCATATATCAAACATCCATTGTTAAAATATAATTTTTAGATGGATTATGAATTCTAATTAAATGCAAACATGGCCATATAATTGTGGTATTTATTTGAAAAGCTCATTAAAATCATCTACAATTTGAGACTTTCTCTTATAAAATGGCAATGTAAGCCATTAAGTTAAGTGATTTAACTTTTTTAAGTAACATAAATTATTGTTGATGAGTTATTTATATCTACCAAATATCCAGTTTGTAACATTTTCAATGAGGTATATCTAACTAAAAATTCAATAAATTTGTGGTGTCTTAAGTATTTAATAGAAATATCACACTTGAATATGTTCATAAGTATGGATACAGGTTTATAGTATTGTTGCGTCAGCGAGGTCACGTGACTCGTTCTCTCGAACCTTCGGGAACTGTCGAGAGATTACTAGATATAGGGTAGTCTGGTATATATATAAGAGGGTGACAACGTGATGGGACAATAATGTGTGTGTAGACAGTGAGTAATTGATCTGCAGTCAGAGAGTATTATTGAGCACGTTCGTTGTTATAGCGTTTGTTTTAGCTCGATTGTTGAAGTTGAGTGTATCGGTAGTTATATTCGGAAAGAATAAACCAGTTTTATTAAGTAAAGACTTGTGTCGCTAAAGTTTCGTCAGAACGAATTTACGGAAAATCAATTAACAAACGGAGACATAACAGTATGGTTAAGTTTCGTTTTCCAGAGTATAGTCATGTTTGCACATGTTTTCAAATTACAGTTAATCTTGGTGCATTATATATGATATACATCTAACTATTATACTATTAAAATTTCATTCATTTACAACTTTCTATTGAATTCATATGTTTTTAATTTGTGTATTTAAGTTCATTAGTATGCAAATATCCAATTTGCTTTTGTAAATGATTCGAACTTGTTTACAGAAATGCAAGATTAGTCATATTTAACCATTACTTTGAATCTAAACAAGTAAGAAATGAACTTAGTGATGTCTAATATTTCTGCCCAAAATTGTATTGAACTTTTTTATTGATTAATATGAAATTAAGTACAAAATTCCTGTTTAATTGTTTATGTTACAGGGCTTATTAGTACCTTCCTCCATGTGCATCCATTTGGAGCAAGTGTTGATTACATTTGGTCATACCTGAAACAGATGGAAATACTGCTGCAGCCCAGAGATGTAGAGATGCTTCTAACCAAGTTTCCTCTTCTGTTTGAGCAGGAACTCTCAGGAGTTGGAGCTAGTCTTGAAAGAAAATGGACTTTTTGTGGCTTTGAAGAGAAATAGTGATCTTTGAACATTTTGTGTTTTCTAATCGTTTTCTAAAAAAAAAAAAACTTGCAGTGAAAATAGTATCTAACCTGAAGAAAAAGTAATAAAGTTCAGATGAGATTTTATTTGAGTTCTTGTTTTTCTAAACATTTTTATTCAGTAGTTTTTGCAAAATGTGAGCAGCTTTTTTGCAATCTAGTTTGAATGTGTAGTATCAGTTCAGATGAAAGTGTTGTTTGTAGTGACATTTGTAGTGATATTACCAAACGAAACATTGGTATTCTGTGTAGGTTTCTCATTAATGATAAGTTTTGTTTAGCTTGTATTATTATAGTTGGCAAGTACAGTACATTGTGAAATATTAACCTTTACATTTGTAGCACAGAATGAAAAATACAGCATAATATCACCACCATTTGAAAACAAGATTTATTCTTGTGATGTTTCAGACAAGATGCTTTGTTTATGTGCACAAAAAATATAGCATCCAAAATGATTTATTAGTACAACATTTAAAACACAATGCCTGTCGTTTGATACCCAAACGCCACATTAATCAGAATGATCATTCTGTGTTTGTATGCCTGCAAACAAACAAGATAAATCATGCCTGAAACATATCTTGTTTTTAAGTGGTGGCAGTGATATTATGCCAAATTTCTTGTTATACATCATTTTCTTCCAAATGCTATTTGAAATGTTATCAGTTTTATGCATTTACTTCATTTTTCATAATTGAGTAATGACTTGTATGTTTCTGTGTAAATTGAAACACCATCTGTGAAATATGTTGTTAGTTTGAGTAAATTCTAATGGCGATACAGTGCTAATAGCTACTTAAATAACTTCACAATACATGCTATATGGTTTGATAATTTATTTTTCACATGTAATTAAATATTTACTTTAGTAAATGTTACTTATTATTTGTGTCTGTGTGAAGTTATTTCTCTATTTCCATTTAAGTAATGAACACTTAAAGACTAACATGAAAAAGACTTCCACAGACATCAGATTGTTAGTTTTGAAATGATACAAAACTATTTTCAACAATTACAGTGCAAACTATGAAGAAAATTTACTGATATGTACATTAAGGAATAAGTGAAATTAGATAATTACACAATCTGACAAAATCTAAATTAGTTATAGGAAAAGATAGCAAAAATTAATAATTTTTCACAAGCATTTATAAATTATTTTATTAATATTTGGAGCGCTAAGGAAATATTATTTGTATGTGTGGATATGGAAATGTTTTCTTGATAGAAGGTTTTAAATATGTATCAGATGACAAAAATGTCTATCTCGTATATATATAAATAAATATGTGTGTGTGTGTGTGTATTTAGGGATATGAGATAAGCTATTTTTGTCATCTGATACTATTTTTTTTAAAACTTCCATAATTTCATATTTTAGCTGTGTAAGTTTTTCTTGGGGGGGGGGGGAGGTTCCATTGTTGTGGGAACAGTTGAAGGCAAAACAGATATTTTGTCATTCATTTACTTCATAAAGGATATGCATTACTTTTGAGTTGAGTAACTGGGCATGCAAACATTATTTTCAGTACATTAAAAATATTGCTGAATTTCCAAATGGAAGTTAAACACTAGTATGAATATTTGGGCAATAATTATTATATTTTTAATTTACATCTTGCAGTGTTTCTTCTTTCACAGAAAATAATTTTAGTTGCATCTAGACTGACCTTTTTTAAATAAAATAACCACTAAATTTTTAGAAGTTCTGACTTAATTCTTGCTTTATTATGTTTAGATAATGGATAATTCATTAGTAACCATTCAAGACAAATATATGGTTGTGATGTATTCAAACCAAATAAATGTACATTATTATTTGGAGAAAGAATTCCATATATTTGAAATGTGAAATAATTTTTGTCATAAATATTAATATCATTATAATTATTAATTATCTTAATATCTAAATCTAAATAGTGGGCTTCAGTATTTGATATGGATGTATTATTGAATTGTAGAACTGCAGGATAAATGTTACTAATATAATTACTTATTACTGGATTACTAATACTCCTATATTTTGACAATTTTATATATTATATAGGTGGACTAATTAGTGGTATCACATTCCATATACGAGACCGAGACCCGCTACTGGGTAGATCTCTTTAGAACTATTGAAGATCCAGATAGTAGCATTGAAGGGTGGAGAATGGGAGCAATACTAGTAGCAAATGTTGGGTTTGGTATAATAGTACCTTAACATCTTGGTAATTTATTTCCAAACATCATATTCTGGGATACCAACTTGAAGGATAATTTTGCTGTCTTCCCAATGATGTGTAGTATTTTAATTATTATCTTTCTTGCTGTATTTTTCTCACGTATTTTTTCTTGTGAGTAACCAACTTCAAACTTCTGGATGCAAACAGCGAAACATGTTGGCTTTAGCATCCATGTTTGCTCATTTTCTCTCTCTCGTTTTTACCTTCTAAGCATGTGAGGTCAGCAAAATTGATGTTAAACCGGATAGACGGTGTACCCCCAACGCAATTTGGGTCTTACTTCACCCAGTACATCAAAGAATCAAGACACATTACATAATGACCCACCTCTTATGATTTGTGATCCTATGTTGGAATTTGTTTTTTGCCCGTTTTTATTCTTTGAAGTATATTTTTTTAGCTTATTTAATTATTTTTCTCCATAAAATTAAATGATATTTCATCTAAACTTTAGATATGCTGTGTAAAACTCACGATAGTCTGCTTTCCATGTAATCTGTTTTTTAAAAAAATTGTACCTTACTTGTATTTGTTCCGTTTATTGTAACGCAAAGAGAACGCTTGGAAAAACGTTTGCTTTTTAATAAAAATTAGGTACTATCAACCCCCTTGGAAAGAATGAAGAGTTCTTTTACACTATCATTTCCATTTTTTCCTGCCCCCCATTGGCACAGCGGCATGTCTGCGGACTTACAACGCTCGAATCCGGATTTCGATACCCGTGGTGGGCAGAGCACAGATAGCCAATTGTGTAGCTTTGGGCTTAATTACAAACAAACAAACAATCCATTTTCCGCCTTTCACTTTCTTTATACATTATCCACACTGAGTATTTGTTTGCGCAACAGTTTTTGTTCAATGTACTCACACTTTTTTTCTTCACTATCCCGATCACTTTAGTCACTTATATTTATATTTATTTATTTGTTTGTTTGACTTCGTATTACAGTTTTTCACCCGTTTATATTAAATTCTCCATACCTTTTATTGTGGCCTGGCATGACCAGGTGGTGAAGGCACTCGACTCGCAATCTGCGGCTCGCGGGTTCGAATATCCGTCCCACCAAACATGCTCGTCCTTTCAGCGGTGAGGGCGTTATAATGTAACGCTCAATCCCACTATTCGTTGGTAAAAAAGTAGCCCAAGAGTTGGCGGTGAGTGATGATGACTAGCTGCCTTCCCTCTTGTCTTACACTGCTAAATTAGGGACGGCTAGCGCAGATAGCCCTCGTGTAGCTTCAAAACAAACAAACAAAACTTTTATTGTTGAATACTTTTATTCCATACACGCGTTCATTCTCTCATTGATTTCATATTCTTACATTTCTGCTTGTATTCATGTTCTACTTTTACTTCATTTAGTTTATATATTTTAATTTACTATATTTAAGAGATTTTTCAAAAAAAAAATATTGAATACGTTATTATTATTTTTATCTTCTTTGATCTCGCTTGAGCTTATGATTTTGACTACGAGCCACGTGTATTATTTTATTTATTTTTACCCCAGTTCCTCTATTAACGATTTTATTGTCACTACAAACCCGATTAAGAACTTTTGCCCGAAACGTTGTTTTCTTGTTAATCAATAGAGTTATTTTAATTGGGCGAGTTTTAAACCACTATTATTTTTATTCTGCAAACCAAAGTACATCATCATCATCATCTTTAACTGGACAACGATGCACCCGAATAGCCTGATGAAAACTATTTCTGTACTGAATTTCTTAACTTTCTTTAGGGGGAATATACTAGTTGTTTAACTTTTTTCTGGAAAATACTTCAGTTATATCCAGTTGAGAACATACAGTTACATGATATTAAAATATAATCTATCGGAAATATTAACTGTAAATTTCATATTCTGAAGCTATAAGTAAAACTAAAACATCTAAACTTCTTAATTTACCAAGTTTAAGTAAACGCTTTCAAACACCTAACAAAAAATATGTTTTCAGTTTACTGCATAATTCAGTAATTATATATATTCTATATAAAATTAAAATTCTGTGTTGGAAGTTTACACTAGACAGACAAGTCATTGACTAATTAACAAAAGCATATTTAGTTACTCGTACACTTATATTTTACCAAGGTTTTTATTGGTTATAAGCTGTAAAACAAACGTGTTAGTCAGATAATGTCAGTCTAGGATGAGTAAGGTAAGATGTTGTGGAAGTTCTTTCATGCCGGTTTTGTCGATGATGTAGAAAACAAAAAAAAAAACAGCTAGCCGGAAATGATCGTGGAATGATATTTATCCCTATTATAAGTAAAACGTTAGTTTAATCCAGATACACAAATAATGTACAAAACAAACAGGGAAAGCAATTTAATCTGTAGTACTGCATATTGTTAATCTACTTAAAATGTGTTTTAAACATTCGGAGATATGTTCTACTGGCTGATCAAACATTACTGATAAACAAGCAAAAAATACAACTTCACCAACTATCATATGTGCCTCGTGTCATCCATCTCCCAACAATAACTAATATATTTGAAATATCCAGCTTAAACTAGTTAGAGGGTTTCACATAAATATTATACAAGGCAACATTTTAAGAAAAACAAACTGGGATGTATTGGGCAAGTTGGAAGAGCTAAGGTAGACGTTAGTTTTGTTTGTTATTCACCATAAAACTCCACAAAAGGTTATCTGTGCTGTGCCTACCGCGGGTATCAAAACTCAACTCTTAGTGCCATAATCCCTCAGGCTTACCACTGAGCCACCAGGAGGGATAAGGGTACAAAATAATCTATCAATGTATGGTAATTACGGGAATGTTTCAAGTCGTAGAACAGATTTATTAACTGCAAGTAACATTAAATAATTGATTCTTATCATTGCAGCTAGCTAGATGTTATATTTCACGAACTTGACGTCTGAGCATGGTATAACTATTTTTATTGCACGTTTTTTTGTGCTTCCTTAACTTCACTCTTGCTGACTACTGGTTGTAGCGCTTCATAAAGATATAGAACTTTTAATGTAACCCAGGTATCCTTCCTCAACTGAAGACTACCATTGCGACAAAGGCTTAGGAAACTTCCGTGGAGATGTTACAATCTGCAATATACAATGCTGTTGTCAAGATGAACGAAGGAATAGAAAATGATGGTAGCAACGTTATTTACAATGTATAATTTCACGAAATATTGATAAAAACAATCACAGTTAGCAAAATACCAATTTTTTTAAATCCAAAATAAATGTTTTCCACTATAACTTTATCAAATTATAAGGATTGTTTGTGTGTTTTAGCGCAAAGATACACAACGAGGGAAATCAAACCCCAGTTATTTTAGCTTACCACTGACTAACCAAAGAAAAAATGAGAGAAGGAATAAAAAATTATGAACTGTTTATTGTAAGTTAATCTTCATTTTTAATTAATTATTAGATACTGTCAAACAATACGCAATCGAATATAACCCATTTCAAATTATGGCAAAAAATTTTCAACTTTTAAACAAGTATCAAAATTACGAAATAGTCTATAATTATTAGTCATAAAATTCAAATTGTAAAGTTTTCTGCTATAAAAAATCGTTCGATACTAAGCAGCTTAACATACCCCTTGTAGGGGTCTTTAATTTTTTTTTTTACAGGGTATTAGCCTAAAGAAGGGTATAGGTGCTTGTGAAGGTTCACA